GACTACTACAACAACGACTACGACTACAACGACGACCACGACTACTACAACAACGACTACTACAACAACGACTACTACAACAACGACTACTACAACAACGACTACTACAACAACGACGACCACGACTACTACAACAACGACTACTACAACAACGACTACTACAACGACGACGACCACAACAACGACTACTACAACAACGACTACTACAACAACGACTACTACAACAACGACTACTACAACAACGACTACTACAACAACGACTCAAGGGTTTCGCTCAGTCCTAGTCATCATGCACACACTATTCATCGCCTATGTTCTTCCTTCAGCGGTATTAGGGGCTCCACGTCGTCTCCAAGTCAGCACTACCACCTCGGTTCCTGCGACTACAGTCCCGCCTACCACGATTGATGCTCCAACTTTGCAGAACACCTGTGATATCTACTGCCAGGGGCTTAACGGGGGTGCTTCTTACTGTAAACTTGATCTCAGCCCACCCACGTGCCAGGGAGGTGATCAGCCTTGTGGTACAATAGCTATCTGCGGTCCCGCTATCACGGTAACACCGACTGACGTGGTACCAACTGGTGATGGAACGTATGAGCCTGCCTGTGACACGATGTGCCAGAGTCTCAATGATGAGGCTTCATACTGCAAGTGGTGGCTTCCTCGCCCTACTTGTCTTGGTGGCGATCAACCGTGTGGGGATCAAACTGTATGCACCTCCCAGACGTGGCCTCCTGCTCCCACACCTTCTCTCCCAGCTGGTGCGCACCCCTACGAGTCTGCCCCCTGCAACGCCTACTGCGTCGGTCTCAATGGGCCAACTTCGTACTGTAAGTGGTGGAAAAACGAGCCTGTCTGTCAGGGTGGCGATCAATCTTGTAGCCCATCGGATTGTCCCACAGGCACTCCTGCTCCCACCGAAGGTCCTCCTGATGCACATGTTGGTCCCAGCTCCAACTGCGATGCTTACTGTACCGCTGTTAATCCTGACCTTTCTTTTGATCGCGTGTCGTACTGCAAGTGGTGGCTCCACGTGCCTGTCTGTTACGATGGTGATCAGCCTTGTGGCCCGAGCGTCTGCAGCAACTTCGGTGAGACTACAACCCCGACTACATCGATCCCATCTGGGACGCCGACTACCCAGGCTACTACGATTCCCTCTTCGACATCCCAGATTGTCACCACGCAGTCGGCCACTACTTTGACTCCTACAACTCAGGTTGTTACTACTGTGACTCCTACAACTCAGGCTGTTACCACTGTGCCTCCTACAACTCATGCTGTTACGACTGTGCCTCCTACTACTCAGGCTGTTACCACTGTGGCTCCTACCACACAAGCGGGAACCACTGCGGCTCCCACAACTCAGGCTACTACTATTCCCTCTTCGACCTCTCAGACTGCCACCACCCAATCGGTAACCACCGTGGCTGCTACAACTCAGGCGGCCACCACTGTGGTTGCTACAACTCAGGCTGTTACCTCTGCGGAGGCTACAACTCAGGCTGTTACTACTGTGCCTCCTACAACTCAGGTTGTTACCACTGTGGCTCCTACAACTCAGGCTGTTACCTCTGTGGAGGCTACAACTCAGGCTGTTACTACTGTGCCTCCTACAACTCAGGTTGTTACCACTGTGGCTCCTACTACTCAGGCTGTTACCGCTGCGACTCCTACCACACAAGTGGGAACCAGTGCGGCTCCCACGACTCGGGTTACTACTATTTCCTCTTCGACCTCTCATTATTTGGAGAAGATAGGACGCTCGACGTCCAAGACCTGTCGACTCTGCGGTTATCCCGACGAGACGTGGGAGCACCTCACAGATCAGTGCCCCAAACTGAGCAGACTACGCTACATGGTGAAAAGACCGCCAGGCGTTGGGTATGCGTACTACTTTACAGAGAGATCGAGGGCGCAGAGACTAGCGAAGTTTGCTGCGAGGGTGCTGCAAGTGCTATCCGGTATGCAGGCCACTGGCTCTCATTAGGGCGGGGCCCCATCAGGAGTGTAAGCCGCAGATAGGCGTCGACAGCGGACTGCACTACATTACCTCTCGGCTAATTACACCACACTGTATCACTATGCCACTATGCCATACTGCGACAGGTGTGTACCCTATCCACTCATCGCACGCTGAAAATTCGTGCTGGTACGTGCAATTGCACGACAAGATACGCGGATCCCCTTGGCTTGTCAGAGGTTCACGCTATGGAACGTGCTGAGACAGGAGACGCGCTTAGCTCAGTGATGAAATTGGGGGGGGGGGATTCTGGCGTGAGTGGGCGTGGTCGTTGTTGTGGTCGTGGTTGTGGCTGGTCGTGGTTGTGGTCGTGGCTGGTACTGTCGTTGGCTGGTTGGTGCTACCTAATAAATGACGATTGATGTTAAGACGAGTATGGCGAGGTGTTGTTTCGGTTTCTGATATGTGTGCCCATGTACGTGTGTGTAGTAAAAGAAAAGGAAAAAAAAAAAAGAAAAAGAAAAAAAAAAAAGAAAAAAAAAAAAGAAAAAGAGTACGTGTGAGGAGCGTACAGTGAAGAGCGTGGAATGAGATGCCACATGGACGGAGGGGGATGTGGTGTAATCACTGGATGCTAGGCCGGCTGAAACGCCAGAGTTGGCGACATAGCCTACGGCCGACCCATCCTCAACAACAACAACAACAACAACAACGACTACTACAACAACGACTACTACAACAACGACTACTACAACGGCTACAACTACCACGAGTACTAGCAGTACTACAACTACCACGAGTACTAGCAGTACTACAACTACCACGAGTACTAGCAGTACTACAACTACCACGAGTACTAGCAGTACTACAACTACCACCAGTACTAGCAGTACTACAACTACCACCAGTACTAGCAGTACTACAACTACCACCAGTACTAGCAGTACTACAACTACCACGAGTACTAGCAGTACTACAACTACCACCAGTACTAGCAGTACTACAACTACCACGAGTACTAGCAGTACTACAACTACCACCAGTACTAGCAGTACTACAACTACCACGTCCGCTACTGGTACGACGACAACTTCTGCATCAAGTACCACTACTGGCATTCCGGATTGCACCGATGCTGATGCATACTGTGATTCTGTGATCCCTGGTTCTTATTGTGAATACTGGAGGAGTCCAAGCACTTGTCGAAGAGACCGCCGGTTAAACGGCAACAGTGATATCCGTCGTTTGAGTGATAACATACAATGTGCTTGTGGAGAGTCTACCAGCACTACTGTTTATGCTAACGAACCCTAGATGTTTGCTCACATCACATCTTTCAAGTTGAGCTCGTCCTAGGAGCTCAGCGAGGCACTTGACCTCA